ATACTGAGACATTGTCGAAAATTCCCTCTAAGAAGGAGAACTTTCCCACCAAATGCAATATTCAAATTCATAATTTCTCTTAGTAATGTATCTCTGGCATTTATAGCATGACTGGATGCCATGGTTCATTCATCAGTAATGAGAATTTTGGCCTTTTTAATGGTTTTAACAACTTCACTCTTTATATTGAGTCTAGAAATTGAAGTTTCATTTAATGGAATGGGTAATTTATATTGGGAATGAAAGGCTCTTCCACCGAAAAATAAATTTGCAGCAATTCCTGTAAATGTTGTGGGTAAAACAGTACCACCACGAACAAATGTAATAATCTGAAAATAAAGATTTAATTATATAAAAAAAAGAATATATGGACAAGTTTATCACCATACTGGAACTTTACATCCTTCGGTGTTTCTCGGAAGTTTGCTCAACTCTATATTTTAGATATGGCTGAGGAGACAAGTACAAGATTAGCAATGCCAGGAAACCAGGGCTGCTCAGAAAGACTCATGATCAACATCAACAACCTCATGCACGAAATAAATGAATTAATAAAATCATACAAGGTGCTACATGAGGTAAAAAGGAAGCCCAATCTGAAGCAGCACCAAAAGTTATTGCTCCCACGGAGGTAACAATGGTGATTAAATATGATCATAACAGTGACCCGAGTAGATATATCTCTCCCTGTGTAACCGAGCTTGTTGTCATATTCAGAAACGAAGGTGAAGAACCTCCTTTTGAAAGGGACTTGCTCATTCATTGTAAACCAGATCCCAACAATCTGAATGCCATTAAAATGAAACAAATCAGTATCCTGTTTCCTATATTAGATGCAATGACATATCCTATTCTTTTCCCACATGGTGAAAAAGGCTGGGGAACAGATATTGCATTAAGAATCAAAGATGACAGTGTAATCGACAATGATACTAGACAAAATCTAAGGACACAAGTCACACAAATGCAGAATTATGGATTTCATCTCTCCATCCAGGACACGTTCAATCCTATTTTAAATGCAGGAAAATTAACTCAACAGTTTATCGTGGATTCATATTAAAAAATGGAGGCCAATCGGATAAATTTCATTAAAGCAAACCAATCTAAGTTGAGAGTTGAAAAATATAGTGGTTTGATGGATTATCTCAAATCTAGATCTGAAAAGGACAATATGCCAATTAGAAAAATGATTACTTTCATCATCTTTTAAGGGTAGTCCCAGAAATATGCAGCAGCGATATCAGGATGCTATGGCAATTGTAACGAGGTATGGCAAGCTCGATTTGTTCATAACCATGACATGCCAC